TGCATTCCTACTTAATCTGGCATTGAATGTTTTTTTAGTCAATTATCCGGAGTAACTTGCAATATGCTGCCCTAAGTCTTTGAGGAGACTTCCTTTGGATCCGGAAATCCAGCATTTCTGCATCGTGCTGTGCAGGGTTAGTTTTTCTACTAGGGGTCTTATTTTTGTAACATTTACTTGTGTTGGCACATTACTTTATTAGTTTCTTTATGCTGCATGCATTTAGGTAGCATTTCAGTACCAAACATTGGACTTGACATCTAGTTTATGCCTGCCAAGTTTTGTTATCTGTTTCCTTGCGGAGTTGTTGATTATGAATGTCTTATTTTTTTTCTTTAAGAAACGAAATTTACTTATCCTATTGCTATGAAAAAACAATTTTTTTTGAAGTAAAGTATAATGTAATGAAGTAGGATTCTATCCATCCTATACTCACAAAACTTTTTGAAAAAACAGTGCACATATCTAGGAAAGAGGACTGCTAATCCATTCAGAGAAGGGGAAATTTTAGTTTCACAAAAGTTCTTTTAGTTAGAATCTTTAGCCTATAGTCTCACCACCACAACATTGCTGTAACCATGTCTTAAGATAACTCTTTTTATCCTGTATCTTCAAACTTTGAAGATAAAAGTTTGTTGTTCAATATTTATCAATTTATACATCAATGGTACATTTTAGTTTATTTTAATATTTTACTCTATTTCAATAGTTTGTTTATTATTCATTCTGTTTCTTTCAATTATTTGTTCTATAGTTTTTCTTTTCTTTTTTTTTTATGTCTAAGATCCCATGTCATGGAAAATATAACAAAAGTAGGATGATTAATTTTTTTTTTTTTGCCTTTTACATTTATTGTCAGATCTTATTCTCCTCTAACAGATGTTAATTCTGACAAATGTCCGCTTTTTAGTGTTGAATTTTGGTTGTAACTGTTTTTTTTGTTTGTTTGTCTTTACTTTTTCTTCAGCGATTTCCTTGTATTAATTCAAGTTTGAAATTTTTGTATGTGTTGCTCTCTTTTTGATTCTAATGTTTGGTCCCATGTTATGTTTTCCCTTATATTCTTTTAGATCCTTTTGTTGCTGGTGTCACTTTATAATGTGTCTTAATCATGTATTACTGTAGGGTTCATTCGCTGATCCTGTTGCTGTGAGACATTCTCTGGAATCCTCTCTGATTTGCGACAAGGGATCCTTATTCTGTGTGCAATGGCATTAGGTGACTTTATCATCTATTAACACACATATCTTTGTGGTTATACAGCCTCAAAAATATCCTTTTTCTCAGTTGAATCTAATATTAGTTGTTTCTATGTTGCTAATATTTACTCATAATCTTGATGCAGGAAAGCTTGCTCTCCCCTGGGTATTAATCCAATCTCTGTTGCTTGCATTTTTTTTTGTGCTATACAAGGAGGAAAAATAAAAGAAAAATAATTTTTTTATTCTTCACATTTTTCTAAATACAACATGTATTTTTATTGACTGAATCATATTTACATGAAGGTGAAAATGAAGGGCACTTCTTGAAATTTTTTAGACCCCATGGTTAAAGACCATTATCTAATCTGTCTCACAATGTGGAGATCTTCTCTTCATTGTCTAAAAAAATTCTTCTACTCTAGGCATAAAACCCAATTATGATAAAATTGCACAATCTTTTAACTCAAGCTCAAAATCACTCATGCGACCTAAATACAAGAGAGTGCATCTACTCAATGGAAGTGCTAACCTTTATATTTCACTAATATCAACAGTACACCTAACTCAATATATACACCACTCAATATTACAAATTACCCTTTACAAATATATATACATGTTTTCAACACTCTCCCTAAGCTGGACACATATATCTATCATGCCCACTTGTTCCAAATAATAGTTACCCTTTTCCCAACTAGAGACTTCGTGAAGATGTCACTGTTGTTCCCCTGTTCTAACATGATTAGTAGCAATTAACTTTTGTTCAAGTTTCTCTCGTACAAAGTGACAATCCCTTCTATATGCTTGTCCTCTCGTGAAGACTGGATTGTTTGCTATATGTATGCGCTTGGTTGTCACACCACAAGTCCATAGTCTCTGGGTCACCAAACCCAATTTCTCTAAGAAGATGTCTTGTCCATATGAGCTCACACTAACTTGTGCCATAGCTCGATACTTAGACTCTGCGCTTGACCTAGCTACAACCGTTGCTTCTTACTTTTCCAAGAAATAGATTTCATCCACAGAGAGACCTGCCTAACAGCATAGAGAAAACCTTCTACCTTACTATGACCATGATCATGTAAAGAATCCCCACGTCCAGGGCTCTTTTTAGATATTCAAAATATGGATCGCACCCAATGAGATGTCCTAGAGATACATATGACTCACCATACTCACTGAAAAAGCAATATCTGGACGGGTTACTGTAAGGTAGTTTAACTTTCAACTATCCGTCTGTACCTCTCTGGATCACCAAAAACTCCCCATCCTCAGCATTCAATCTCACATTAGGAACTATAGGAGTGTCACAAGGCTTAGCCTCACTAAGACCCATTTCGGTCACACATCTACACCATACTTGCTTGAGAGAGAAAAATCCCTTTCTTACTCCGAGAAACCTCAACTCCCAGAAAATACCTTAAAGTACCCAAGTCTTTTGGTGAAATTTGGAAGCCAAAAAGTTTTTCAAACTCTGAAGGCCAACATCATCACTGCTAGTGATTATAATGTCATCACATAAACAACCAAAATAATGATGCCAGAACTGATTGCTTATAAAGATGGAGTGATCATACACTCCTATGTAAACCAGACTGAGTTACCCCTTCGCTAAACTTCCCAAACCACGCCCGTGGAGATTGCTTTAAGCCATATAAAGATTTCCTCAGTTTGCATACCTTTCCTGACTCCCCTGAGCAACAAACCCCGGAGGTTGCTCCATGTGAACCTCTTCAAAGATACCATGTAAAAAGCATTTTTGCATCAAGTTGGTGAAGAGGCCACATATGAAGCTGCAAGAGAAATGAATAGTCGGACAGAGGTCATTTAAGCCACTGGGAGAATGTCTTAGAATAATCAATCCATACGTCTGGGCATAATCTTTAGCAACCAACCGAGCTTTCAACCGAGTCCATCCATCGGGATTAGCCTTCATTGTGAAAACCCTTGGCACCCAATAGCCTTTTTATTTTCAGGCAACCCCATTAGAACCCATGATCATTATGTTCTAAGCCACATCTCTTCTTCCATAGCCCTTCGCCACCTACCATGAGCAATTGCTTCAGACACAGGAGTTGGAGCAGACACGGAGTCAAAGAGGCAATAAAAGACTTGAAGATGAAGACAAAGATGATAGGAAACAAATGAGGAGATAGGATAGTTACAAGAGCGTTTACCTTTACGAAAGCAATGGGAAGATCATGATCATGGTCAGAGGAGGGGGAACCAGTCAAGGCGAGGCAGTCGATAGAGGCAGTGGATCAGATGTTGCTGCAGGTGTCTCATGGTGCGGGTGAACCCTGCGAGAGTATACTTGGTTGATAGGAGGACGAGATGGTAGAGAACTATGATGGGTAATTGTGGTAAACAAGAAGATCATCAGGGATGCTTCAAGAGAAGTAGATAAGTGGATGACTCAACATATATGGTTTCAAAAAAGGAAACATCAGCTGAGATAAGGTACTTACCTAGGACAAGAGAAAAACAACGTAAACCCTTCTATATCGGGAATACCCTGAATATGCACTGAGGGACCTAGGTTCAAATTTGGATGCATGAGGTCTAACATCTTGAACAAAGCACGTGCACCCAAACACTTTAGGAAAGAGAGAATAAAGGTTGTGATGGAAAAAGGATGGAGAACAGGATTTGACCACCCAAAACAGAAGAAGGCATGCGATTGATCAAGTGACATGCTGTAGATAGCATCTGCCCAAAATTCTGTAGACTTTCATGTGAAAAAGGGAGAGTACGAGCGACTTCTATAAATGATGATTTTTTGCGTTCAGCAACTCCATTTTGCTGAGGTGTATAAACACATGATACGGTGGACATACCTCTAGTCAGAAAGGAGGAAGGAGCAGAAAAATATTCTTGGCATTATCACTTCTGAGATTTTAAATATGAAGTAATTGATTTTGTATTTCAGCATAAAGGTAAAAATATGGAGAATAGTTCAGAAACGATTTTTCATAAAATACAACCAATTACACGTGAAAATCATCCACAAAATAATAAAATATCGATTCCAGACTTAGACAACATAGGGCAAGGACCCCAAACATCAGAGTGTATAACATCAAAAGGGCTGTGGCCTCTGTTTTGTCCTAGGGCTATAGGACACCTATGGTGTTTTTCCAAACTGACACGCCTCATACTCAAGGTGTGACACTGACCCATACTAGGACACAACTTTTTCAAAATGGTAAGGCGAGGATGACCAAGGCCCATGTAGTATGGGTAGAGATGAATCACTAGTACACACAACAAGTTGCGAGACAGGAGTGGAGGCATCATCGAGCATAACAGGCCACCTATACACGACCCCTACCAATCTTGCCTTGTCCCAAGATCCTGAAAATACAATGAGTAGGAAAAAAGTCAACACCACAATTGAATGCATTAGTAATTTGACTAACTGATAAAGTTAAAGGAAAATGGGAAGGCACAAGACGAGAAAGAGACAGATTTGTTGAAATGGGCAGTACCACATCCAATAGTAGGTGCAGTACCCGTTAGCTAAGGTAACTGAAGACAAATTGGGAGAAGGTGTAAATGAGAGAGAATACCTGTATCGCCTGTCATATGGTGGGTAGCACCAAAATCAATGACCCATTACTACTAGAAGATACAAACAGGCTGTAGGATTACCTAACTGGGTTAAGTATGGTAGTCGATGATGGGATGACTGGGCAAGAATTCTGAGTGAGACGAGCTTTCTGCTGCGGAGATAGTAACCTGTGATGGGCGGGTAAGATACCATCTTGAGTTTAAACTGCCAAGCCCCTATTTTTATTTAATTCATCGTCCATCACACACCCCCTTTTTCTAAAGGGCAGCATCAACAGCAAGTGAAGTTGATCACAAAAATGGCTTCAAAACTCTTCTTCGTATAAATATTAATATTAATAATCCAAAAATCCTACCGAATTTCTGTCTTCTCAAACCAACCAACCTAAAATCATGGCGGTAAGTTAGACGTTAAATCACTTCCCAGATCTCATTGTCTATATCTAACTACTCAATTTACTTAATAGAAATTAATTTCATTTTTATTTGCAGGACTCTTCAGGAACCACTTTAATGGATCTGATAACGGCCGACCCGTCCACAGCGTCGGCAACGGTGACGGCGTCGTCGGGATCGACGGCGCCGTCTACGGCTGCTCCGCTATCAGTGTCGAGCGGTGGCGGAGGGATTCCGACGAAGACGACATTGGGAGAGAGGAAGTCAAAGAGAGCGGCGTTGATGCAGATCCAGAGCGATACCGTTTCCGCGGCCAAGGCCGTTTTGCATCCGGTTCGTGCCAACATCAATATCATGCCGCAGAAGCAAAAGCAGAAGAAAAAGGTTCCGTAATTTCTCTTATTTTTTTTTTTATCTAAATTAGGCTAAAGGAAGTGTATATGTGAATGAATTTGAATTGAAAGCAACATTTACAGCCGGTTTCGTATGCGCAACTTGCCAGGAGTATTCATGAACTAGCTGCTACTTCGGATCAGGTGAACGTTGCCTTTTTTTTTCAAATTAATTTTCAAATTTTATTTATTTATTTTACTTGCAGTTTGTTTAAAATTTTAATCTTCTGTTTTGTATGATTTGTGAATAGAAAAGTTCACAGAAACAATTAGTTCTCCATGTCTTTCCGAAGCTTGCTGTGTATAATTCTGTTGACCCTTCATTAGCGCCATCGCTTCTCATGGTATGTTATAGTTCTCTAATTATTGTATACATCATTGTTCTATCTGATTGAGTAGAAGCTTACTTTGTTTTTGTATAGTGAGTTAACATTAACAATTTCATATTTGTTTTCGTGGGAACGCTCTTGTAATAAAGGAAACACAATAGATTCATTTATTTATAGAACACGTTTATTGTGGTTGATGCTTGATATCTGTTCGTTTTAATGAATTCAACAGCTTGATCAACAATGTGAAGATAGGAGTGTACTACGCTATGTCTATTATTACTTGGCCAGAATTTTATCCGATACTGGGGCGCAAGGCTTAAGTCCAGGTGGTGGGATCCCCACTCCAAACTGGGACGCCCTTGCTGACATAGATGCTGGTGGAGGGGTGACCAGAGCCGATGTGGTTCCGAGAATTGTTAACCAGCTTACAACAGAAGCTTCAAATCCTGATGTTGAATGTAAAGTGGTTTCCTAGCTTTACATGATATGCAAATTTTTATTAATTTGATTGATTGAGTAGTTTGAATATTTACATGCTTTCACAAGTAATATATTGATGTTCATATGTACTTAAGTGCTTTTGCAATTTACTGTTTCAACTAATCTTAAACCCTTGAAGGTTGATCAGACCCTGAAGACCTATGTTTAGTGTCATTAGTTAGCATTATGTATGTGACATTTCTTTTCTAATTGTGGAATTCTGTCTGTTGTTGTCTGTTCTAAGGTTAATTTTTCTTAAAAATATTCTACCAAGAATTGTTGGAGAGGTTCATTAAATTGTTCTTGATACATTTATATTTTGAAGTGACAAAAGTTTGGTTGTACTCTCCCTCATGCTTCCTACTTTTTTTCTTTTTTTTTTAAAACTTCTTTTGTGTTTGTCAGCAGACAGTTTTTAGTTCTTTTTTATCTTTTAGTAGGAATCAAGAGATTTTATCAGAGGGTTGAAATTGCAGTAATAGTGTACGAAGCACTAATATGCAAAAGTCAAAAGATAATTTACTACAATTAACTCCAAATTTAGCCACAACAACCTGCCAATATTTAAACATAAAGAAGAAAGAGATATCATCAAATATTTAGAAATCCTATGGGATAGAATTCCTTTTTTTTTTTTTTTTGGGTAATTTGGAAGAGAGAAAGAGCTGAATTTTTGAAGGAAAAATTAGTGAAGAGGTTGGTGGCCTATGGGACATAATTCATTTATTTGCCTCTCCTTGGCCTTGTATGACCAAGGAGTTTAAAGACAGTTCCTTTTCCTATTTTAATTTGAATTTGAATGAGTTTTGTGATAGTTTGTTCTTGGAGTTGTAATCTTTTCCCTTTCATTTTGGGGTGGTATATTGGTTTGGGTAATTTTGTATAGTTGGTGAATGTGGTTGACTGGGTTCAACAGTTTTACTAGTCTTTGATCTCTGATAACTTAAGTACTGATTCACTTGGAAATTATATGGATGAGACTTAGTAAAGTTGTCATCACTCACTTCTATTACTGTTTTGGCTAGATTCTTTTTGAATAATTTCTTTTAGAATTTTGTATTAAATTGTCTACCTTTCTCTTGTGATATATTGTGATTGAGGCAACAATAGTGCATAATGTAAGTATGATGTTTACAGTTCTATACGTATATGATCTTGTTTTTGTTATTTCTTACTTGATTTCTAAGACCAGAAAAAGTATTTTTGGATGTAGTTGGTCATCTTCGACTTAATACTTTTCTATTTTCTTTGAAGTTCATGCACGGAGACTGCAAGCTTTGAAGGCTCTTACTTATGCTCCTTCTAGCAACACTGAAATTCTGTCCAAATTGTATGAAATTGTCTTCAGCATTCTCGATAAGGTTTGTCCTTATTGAAGCTTTTCATTCATATTTGAGAGAACTTTGTGTTATTTTCATATGTTCTTGCTTACTGTAATATGATTTTTGGACTGTATAGAGAAATTTTCTCTTTCCTTTTTTTAATTTTAATTTTTTTTTTTTTTTTTTTACTTTCGTAGCAATAAGACAATTTTTTTTGTTTGTCCTATGATGAATTTGCGAATTGGGTGATTGAAAAAGTCAGCGTTTTATATCATCACAGGAAAAACATTACACCTTCTTGCTATTTAAATGTCCTGGGATTTTTATGTTTTGGTAATTATTAGGTTTTAGGTATTGGAGGTTTGGGAATAAAATTTAGGGTTTCATATAGGCATTTTGGCAGGTGCATGATTCATTAGTTCCACTTTTTTTTTCTAATATTTAAGTTCATTCTATACACGAATCATCTGGAGGTAATTTTTCTTTCCCACTTTGGTTATCATTTTTTAGTGAGTAGATATTTCTCAAAGAAATCTTCAGTTTGTGCTTTTTGTTATATATGGCAGGAAACACATTTAGAAAAAAAATGGTTTGCTTTGATAGTTTTTTGTTGAAATATTTATGAGGGTTGTTGGGACAATTACTTGAAATTGACAATGTTTTGCCCTCATTATTATTGTTTTTTTTTTGGATAACATGTTATACCTACTGTTTAGTTTCTTAACCTTGGTGCTTTCTTGTGTTTCCTTGGAATTCACTTGCCAAAATAATGATTTGGATATTTATATTGATATTCAGGTTGCTGATGTCCCCCAAAAACGTAAGAAGGGCATGTTTGGGACTAAAGGTGGTGATAAAGAGGTAGAAATAGAACTGATGATGATGATGATGATTTGTAATCTGAACATTTTACTGTTCTGTCTAAAATGTCATCAGTGTCATTGCCTAAAATGTCATCACTGTTGTCTATGTTTTACTTAATACTTATATATATATATATATATATATATATATATAGCCTTGTATAACATATCTCGTGCAAAGAAAATCTAAATAAAATGAACAAATGTAAAATTTTATTGTGATGCCTGTACAATTTCAGTTTATGTTTTTCTATTTAAATTTGTCAAGATGATTTTTACATGGGCAATTATTTTCTGTAGTTCATTCACTTTCAAAGTTATGAGATATCTATTCCTTTCTTGCAATGCTCGTNCTCCAAAAAACACCAAACACCAAAGCTATAGCCGATTTTCATTCTCTCCATCAATTGAACTATTCAGATACCATATCTTAAACATTATATCCGGCCTCCAAGCACCATAGAAATCACTGCTACTTACGTATTACAATACAATCGTTTTTCCAAGTTTTCTTTTACTGCCTTTTTATACTTTTTTGAGGAATCTTTTTGTGTCACTACATTCATAAACCCTTGTTGGGGAATTTAGGGTATTATAATACAATCGTTTTTCCGCACAACAATATAATTGATAATTTGGTTTATATAATTTTTAAATTAATTGTTTAGATTATATGTTTATTACTTCAATATATATTTTATTGTAAATTTATCAACTTAAATGTTTTCTCCATTGTAAATTATCCTTGAATGTAACATTTCTTTTAAACTATTGGATTATCATGAATTTGTGTTACAATTTTATGTTAAAATAGCTTGACCCATTATTATGATAAATAATCTTGGGTTTGTTGCTCGAAACCTTACGAGGTTTTCTCCATAGTATATAAACCGCGTAGGTATCCAAAAATTACCCTAAATTCCCTAATGATACCCAAATGATATAAAATATAGGAATCGACAACTTTTCCCCACCCAAGGTTTGGCCTAGTGACATTTCCCACCCAAAAAGTCTCTAAACAACACTTTTACTACCCAATGTTATGTTTCGTTAGTAATTTCTATTAAATACAGTGCATTTTTGGTGTAAAGACGAAAATGTCATTTACTATTTAACTTAAAAATATCCTTTCCTACCTTAAAAATTGTCAATTTCTCCCTACTTTTTTTGAGTGAGAAAATAACTAGAAAAAGGGAAAGAAGATCAACATCGACGCGTGCTAACGTGCATCAAAAATAGTGACTATGATAACGTGAGTCGATTCAAAAATTTTGAAATTTTTTTAGGTGACACATCACCAGTTTGACCCACCGGTCAAACTGGTTAAATCAATCAACCCGAGACCTGGCTTCTTTGTTGGGTTTAGCCCCAAGTTGCTTTTTAAAACATTGATAATAATATTCCTATCCATATTCCCAGTCCTATTCCCAAAATACTTGTTTGTTTTATTATTTGAGAAATACTATTCTATTTTTCTAATTACTTTTAAACCCCTTCAGTTTATTAATTTAATTAAACACTCCACAGAAAAAAAAAGTTTAAAAATTAACAAAAACACCCCCACTCACCCATAGTTACCAGATTCCGGTAACCATCGTCGGTGGTTGTTGGAATCTGTCACAATAGCGTAGAAACGATCAAAAATGGTCGAAAAAGGCCGATCTGACCTTTTCCGGTCATATCCACACTGGATCTGGCCGTCGTTGACAGCCAAATCTAGTATTTTGCGACTGTTGAAGGCTAGATATGGCAGTAGATCTAGCCATATTGACGCACAATCAACTAGATCCGACCGGTCTGCGTGGTAACGCCATTTTTCGGTCAAATTCCGACGGTGCTAGCCGGAATCTGACACTGTGGGTGGATGGGGGTGTTTTTGTTATTTTACAAAAATTTTATATATTTGGGGTATTTAGTTAAATTACCAAACTTAAAGGGTTTTTTTGTAGATTTTTCAATTTTACCTCGTAATACTCACCCTATTTAACTACCCATATTATTCCCAAAATCCTATCCAAAATAACAAAACAAACAGACCCAATAATTTTTCTTCCACTAAAAGGAAAATTATTTTGAATCCATGATATATATTTGTTTCACAAGATTTATTTCTTTATTGTAAATTACAAGATATAAATATGTTGTAATTACAAGATATTATTAATTGATTTATATAAATCAAATAAAATTTAACAAATATTTTTCAAAAAATAAAAATAATGTCCCTTACCCTCACAATTTATCTTTTTGTATTTTAGGCATTCATGTAACCGTTTTTCACCTAACACCATCGACTAAATTGAATATTATTTAGTTAATTTAAAAGATAGGAAAAATAAGATTAATACTGCAATACTAGTTAATATATTGTAAAATATTAACTGAAAATATGTACTATACTATTTTATGCTATACGCATAGCATATGTGACCCAGTGTATATGATAATATATGGACCCAATATTATCAATTAGGTAGATCGACTTAAAACCACTTTTTTAAAACCCGGACCGAAAGGCAACCCGCTCTGTTGTCCCAGTCATGGTTCAACTAATCCAACCGATTGGACCGCCGGTTGGACCAATGACGTCAGCACATTAAAAAAAACCTTTTTTTTTTTTTTTTTTTTTTTAAGATTTCCATTTTTTAATAAGATAATAACAACTTAATTACTATCTAACATGATTTAAAGTTCAAATTCAATAACAATCCCAACATAGTTTAAGTATTTAATAACAATCCAAAGTCTAAATCCAAACATGATGTTGTATTCATCCATTACATATTAAATGATAAAATACATAATAATTAATAACAAAACATTTGGTGTAAGTGTTTTTTCTTTGATCCGTCTCCATGTTGATTGAGCTTCACACATTAGCATCAAAATTCATCACCATTACCACCATCATCATCATCGTTACCATTACCATCTTCTACGTAAATTTAAGTAAAAAATAGAAATCATAAGTTAAAACTTGTAATTTAATTTAAATAGATACTAAGTTGCTTAAATATTTGAAACCAACCTTCTGAACCATCGGTTGAATCATAAAAAGAAGGGTGATCAACAACTCCAGCAAGAATAAATCCTTCTTCATATAACATTTGTTCCAACTCCTCATAATTAAGTTCACTGACCTCCTCTTCATCGTCAACTATCCAACCTTCAGTTTTGTCCATATTTTCATAATCAATAGGATTGAAACTTATTCTAAACCCCACAAATCACAAACTCAATTAACCCCCACAAATTGCTAAACCCTAGAAACAACAAACATCATTCAACCCAAAAGAATAAATAAAACCCATACGGAAACCAGGAACTTAACCACTTCAATACAAATTCAAAACGTAATAAATCCTAAATAGTAGCCCCAAAAGTAAAATAAAAAATCAAACCACCACCGTGACATCGTCTAATCCTAAACGTAAAATCTATCAACATTTCAAATCCCGTTTGCTTTGAATCCTCTCTCCGTCTCAAACTCCCAAAGGTTGAACCACCAACGTGACACCGTCTGATCTGTCTTGACATCTCCATAACTCCATTTTCTGGCCTAATCACCATCATGACATTTCAAATTCCGTTTAAATCTTGTCTTTACTCTCCAATTCCCTATTCATTTTTTATTCAATATTATGCAGTAACTAAGCACGACTCCACTTCAGTCCAATCGATCACCGATTCAACTGCCCTAGTAGGCATGACAATGTTCCCCGAAATTTCGGGGACCCCCAGCCCCATATGGGGTGGGGGAGTCCTAGTTTTTTCGGGGATAAGGGCAGGTGTGGGGGTGTTTTAATCCCAGTCCCTGGGGATGGGGCGGGGATGGGTGATGCCTTTCCCCCGCCCCGGCCCGCCCTGTATATATATATATACTTTTCATTAATATCCCTATATTTCACCTAATTACATAATTATCTTGCCTATATAAACCTATATTTTTCCGATTTCCCTCACCCTAAACAATTGAACAAGAACAATCCCTAACCCATATTTATGTAAAGTTAATTATGTTTAAATGATTAATTTAAATGTTTGTCATGTGGATGAAAATTAACTATTGTGTTTGGTAATGCTCAAATTAAGTTAGGTTTATGTAAAGTTAAGGGGAAAGGACAGGCCTCCAACATTTCTCTATGGGGCGGGGAAGGGGAATTTTTTTCTTCTCGTGACGGGGATGGGGCGGGGGTGGGGAGTGATTTTGAAAAAGGGGATGGGTACGATGAATGAGATCCCTGCCCCGCCCCGCCCCATTGCCATGCCTATGCCCTAGGTAAGAGAAATCTTAAAATCGGTTGTATATTGTGTTGATCGATTTCCAGCAAAGGAAGAAGGCGTCGTCGCGATTTCAGAGGCTTGAGTTGCGATCGATTTCAGTAACAATTTCAAACTCAAAGAGTGGATTTCATTGAGATTGAGTGGCGATTTGTATGGGATTTCAAATTTTCATATTTGTGTTAACATTTTTTCAAGAGGATTTTGAGTAGAGAAAAGAGAAATCAGAGTAATTGAGAAATTAGAGATTTTTTCCCCTTTTCAGACGCTGGACCGGTTTTTCAATCATTCTGGTCTGACAGACGGTTTACACTGTTTACACGATTTATAACGGTTCATTTATTAATGCTGGGTTTTATGTTGACTTGAACTGGACAAGTGACCGAGTCCCAGTCCAATCTGGCTTTTAAAACAATGCTTAAAACTAATTTTCATATAAATTGAAATTATTATATGATAAATAGCTTGAAATCCATGCTATTTGAATATGATAGAAAAATGATTTATCTCTCATCATAGATAATAATCACAAAACATTCATAATTTAGTATTATTACTTAAATTCAATGTATTCTTCTTAATCTTAAGTTTACTTCAATCAAAATGGAAATCTCAAAAATATCTTCATACAGAATTAGATTTTCTCTTAAGTTAACTTTAAGAGACTATCTAAGCTTTTTATAATATTTTGACAAATGGTCATCACAATAGTAATATTTGATTTGATATTTTTATTTTATTGTCATTAATTTTAAATATTAATCACGAATAAAGTCTCGTTTGATTTTTTTTTTAAATAAAACTTAGATTTCTTATGAGTTATATGAAAATATAAGTGATACAATTCGACAACAAAATGAAATCATACAGACAATTTAAAAGAAGAAAGAGTTAACAATTACCTTGAGCTGGATTCGCCATGTATGAGATTTCAAAATTCCAATGTTTTGGGGATTGGTTCACCTTGCTCTTCGTCATAATCAAAGATGAAACATCTTCTGGATCTGGATTCTTCCATCGCTATTTCTGGCTTTAGGAAATTCATAATCCCAAACACAACCATTTATTAGTAGCTATCCATCCCCACTACATTGGTATATCAAGTTATACTCAACATACAATGGTCGTTTGTCACAACAACAATCCTGGAATGCTAAAACGATGCAGCAGCTAAAGCTTATGGTATTCTTCAACGAACGTTGCAGTTGCTGTAGAAAAGTTCCATTATTTGGATTGTAGAAAATTCCTGTACAACAAAAATTATTAGTGTAACATCATATATTTTTTCATTAAATAAGAAGAAATGAACTCTTCCAGTGTCCCAAACGCTGAAGGCATACAAAACCGCATCAAATCCCAAGGTTCATAAAGATTATTTTGGATAGGTGTGCCATTCATCAACAATCTTCTGGGCATGACAAATCGCTCTATGAGGACTTTATATACAACCTGTTGTGGTTCAATCATTAAAGTCTTTTGAATGAGAAAATCATAAGAAAATCGAGAAAAATGTTTCCATTAAAATATTAATTTCACCTACTCAAATCTAGTCTTATATTAGACAACTAGCAAAAATTTACTCAAAATACACACTAGTAATCACCTGGTAAAGTTGAGAACGCTAGAACGATGCAGCAGCTGAAGCCGATGGTATCATTTAACGAACATTGCGATTGTTGTAGAAAAGTTCCATTACTTGGATTGCAGAAAAATTCCTGTACAATGAAAATTATTAGTGTAACACCATATATTTTTTCATTAAATAAGAATAAAGAAATTCAAATCATACATAATGGGAGTGAGTGAAGAAAGCCAATGACTGCCAATTTCTTGTAGATATCACCCTCCTCTGCTTATTAAACAAGCTATGTATTCTTCTTCATCTCCTCTGAGTTCATACCTACAGGCAAATCAACCAAATCATGATTTACTTAGTTAAAAATTTCTAACAGCTGACCAATTAAAAAGTGTACATGTTTCTTCAAACTAAATTCAGGAAACAAGCATTATTTCTCAAATTGTTCACACTTAAAAACAATGAAATGGTATTTTGATGCATGAACTTGCTCACTGTTATTCTCTCTATTTCTTTTTCATGTCAACAGTACACCCTAACTCAAATATATACACACACTAAAATAATTACAAGTATACCCTTTACCCTTTACACTGTATATATAAACATGGTTTCCAACACTCCCCCTTAAGCTGGAGCATATATATCTATCATGCCCAACTTGTTACAAATATAGGTTACCCTTTTACTAACTAGAGACTTCGTGAAGATGTCAGCTAGTTGTTCCCCTGTTCTAACATGATTAGTAGCAATTAACTTTTGTTCAAGTTTCTCTCGTACAAAGTGACAATNCTGAAATGAGTGTTGTGGAATTTTTCTTTCAATTCGAAGTTTTTTCTTTAGTGACATAATTGTGTTGATTTTCATTATGGCTTGTAAAAACAATGATTCTTTTCAATCTATTAGTGTGAAATTAGTTGGAAGTAAGAATTATTTGTATTGAAGTTATGTGATGAAATATTTTTTGGAATGCAAGAAGATGTGGAGGTATATTGTTGGTACCAAGGTTCTGAAACCCGGACTGGACCGGGCGGTCGAATCGGTCGGACCGCTACCCGCTTGCATTTCCGGTTTGAAGAGAGCAAATAACCGGGATTTGCCATTAAGCCGTTTCAAACCGCGGTTGGACCGTCGCACTGTAGCAAACCGACAGTCTAATCGGTATTTAACAGATTTCCGATCCACACATTTCCGGTTTAACACATGAAATAAAAAAAAAAATTAAAAATTAAAAACAATCACATGCGCACACATAAAAGTCAAACTGTCAAACTCAAACCAAACCCTCAAAATTTTTATTAAAAAACACATTTTTAATTTGCTTTTGAGCTACAGATACAGAGCCGTCTCCCCTTCTTCAATTTTTCACTTTTTCATCTGGTTTGCCGTTTGCTACTACCATTCACGATCTCCTCCACTCTCTAGTCGAGTCCTCCTCTTCGTGTCCTCCATTCGTGATCTCAGAAGTCAGATCTCCTTCAAGCTTTCAGCTAAACTTCAGCGATTCAGCCTCACGTCTTCACTCTTCAGTCTTCAAGTCTTTGGTCTGCAGTCTGCTCTACTCTGCTTCAGCGCTTCATTCTTCAACTTCTAGTCTTCCAGTCTTCAACGTGAACTCTTCAATCATCACCATCGCCATTGCTGATCTGCCGGATAAGTCATTTTAGCTCAGATTTCAGCTTCAGCCTTCACATCTGTTGCTGTCTACCGTCGTCTACCGCCATCTACGAGCTGCCATTTGTCGTGACCAAGTAACAATCTACAGATTCCTATCTTTTCTGTCTTCTATGCTTTATGTACAGATTTATGAACGCTTACAGATTCTATCAAGTTTACTACTTAAAAGAAGTCATATGATTAAACACAGCCCTTAAATTGTCAAAACGAAATTTAGATTTTGTATTGGTTCATTCTATTAGGATCTTGTATATATGTTTATTTGCTTCAAAGAGATACTTCATGATCAAAGTTAGGGATGATTAATAAAGTAGAAATTAAGTTGTAATGTAAAATAACATTAGCTGGAAAGATGTGTATAGGGTATGAGAAAGTGGTACTGGAAGTCAATAGAATGTCATTCATGTGTCTTGCAAATAATAAAATTTTATTTTATATATATAGAGTCAATGTTCTTTACAAGTGATGCCCTATCCGGGGCAAATTTTTTGAATGTTCCACAACTACATGAACTTGAAGAATGAAGAGATAAAAAATAAAAAATGAGAGTCCTAGTTAACCAAATGCCTCAAGAAATTAAAATAAAACTAAAATATCAACTGGCTCTTTCTAAAATGGGAAAAACAGTGAAGGAAGCAAATAATTAGGCTTTACTAATTAATACCAGAGATTTGAAATAAGGTTTAGCATATTCTATATCCTATATGAATCTAAGGTGATAAAGTAGTTAGGTTCATATAGGATAACAAATTGATTGTTGGTTGCCACTTGCCAGGGGAGAGAATGTCATCATCTTCGTCGCACTAACTTATCAGCAGCGTCCATTCTCGCAACTTTTCGAGAAGAATAAGACCAGATATAGCATGGGGACATGTTCTTGAGAGTGGTTGATAAAGATGGAAAGAAATATTATCTGTGTCTTATTGTGCAAGGCTAAGAGTGGTGGTATTTTCAGAATGAAGCAACACCTAGTAGGAGTAAAAGGGATATTGGAAAGTGTCTGAAGGTTCCATTTGATGTTAGATTCAATATGAATGAATCACGAAAGAATAGAGTAAAAAATAAGGAAAAAGAGATTTCGGAAGCATGACTCCTTTTGGTGTTGTAGTACATGAATTTGAGGGTGATCAGTTAGATGAAGAAATAAGAGGTTTTACCATCACAAATGACATGAATGAAGGTGGTAGTAGTGGCGGTAAAAAACAATTTACGAGCAGTAAGAGAAAGAAAACTACGGGGGTTAGTAATTATTCTGCTCCACGAACTACTTTGGGTCTCAGCCTTCAATTATGAGTGTTTTGGCTGGAAAAGATGCAAAGTGGAGAGCAGACATGTCTGTTGCACGATTTTATGATGCTTGCATCCCGATGAATGCTTTAAATTCAATTTATTTTCAGCCTATGTTGGATGTTGTAGCTGCAATTGGCCCTGGTATAAAACTTATTTATGATGATATGCGTTGTGAATTTGTTGAGAGATGCTAAGAAGGAAGTCCAATTAATTGTTGACAATTATGAGAGGATTTGGCAAGAGTTGGATGTACATTAATAGCTGATGGTTGGACAATACTTGCCATAGATCATTGATTAATTTTCTTGTGTACTGTCCTAAAGGTGTTGCTTTATAAAATAGTGGAGCTTCAGATGTTGTAAAGGATGCCTTTACATATTCAAGTTGTTTGAGGAAATGGCTTTATGGGTTGGACCAAACAACATTGTCCATATTGTCACAGATAATGGAGCAAATTATAAAGCTGCTGGAAGAATGCTGTCTGAGAAGTATGAGAATATTACTTGGTCACCCTGTGCAGCCCATTGCTTAAATTAATTTTGAAAGATATATCTGAGTTGGACCACTAGTGCATCTTGCAAAAGTGCTTCTGAAGTAACCAAGTTTGTGTATATCACAAATTTTGATAGCTTGGTTGAGGAAAGAGAGGTACTAGCTTATAAACCTTTAACCATGTTTTGTCAATTTATTAATAAACATTTTGTAATAATTTACTAACATCTGTTATGTATTGTATGTATCATTTGAACAGGGTTGGAGAGAAATCATACGACCGGGTGCAAACTCGGTTTGTACTACTTTCATTGCATTAAAAGTCTACATGAGCATAAACGACTTGCAAGCTATGGTGACTAATAGGTTTTTGTGGACTCTCGATATGCCAGAAGTAGTAAAGGCAAGAATGTTGTTCCCCATAATCTAGATAATGAATTTTGGGATAAAATGGGTTACGTTTCCAAAATTGTGGCTCATTGATGCGTTGTTGCGAATTGTGGACTCCGATGAGAGACCTGCAATAGGATACGTGTATGATGGCATGTACAGAGCCAAAAAGCGATCAAGGAGTTCTTTAGAAAGAGAAAGATATTGTACAAGCTTAACTGAAATTATTAAGCAGCGGGGGGATTTGCTTTGCATCGCGACATTAATGCTGTTGCTTATTATTTGAATCCGGCTTTTCAATATGACCGTGCAAGTTTCTGCAGGAAACCAGAGGTTATCCGCGGTTCTTGATGTTGTCGATAATAAAGCAAGTGCATTAAAGTTGAACAAGACAAGAGTAGTGGACGAAAGTAGAATATATGAGATCGCGAGGGAAAGCTTTCTCTTGAGCTTGCCTTCAAACTTGCAGAACCACACGACCTGGTAGTAATACTTATTAAATTTCTCAATTTTAAGTCCAATTTCTAAGTTTGAATGTTTATTTGATTATTTCATATGGTTAACACTGAACACTCTTAAACTTTTAATAGATGAATGGTGGAGGAATATGGGTATTACTCCACAGTTACAAGAGTTTGCAATTAAGATTTGAGCCAAACTGCAACCTCTTCGGGAGTGAGCGAAATTGGAGTATTTTCGAACGTATCCATACAAAAAGAAGGATAGATTGGAGCATCAACGGTTGAATGATTTGGTTTTATCCATTAACTTGCGTTTGAAAAATAGGTATAAAGCATTGGCAATTTTAATATTTTTTTATTCATATTTTAGTGATATTTTTATTGGCAGTCTTTCAGGATGTGTTACAAGAAAAGCAGTTGTGATCCTATCGATTATGAAGGCATTGACAGAACATAATTTTGGATTGCTGATGATGAACGGAGGGTGATGACTTCAATTTAGATGAATTAGAGCAAGCACTTTACGAAGAAGGATCTATTCCTGTCGGTGTTGATGGTCAACCCTATTATGATTCAGCAGGTGGTTCACAAGGTTGTTTCTAAACTTTTAACCAATTTGGTAACTATTTAATTTAAATATCAAAAAACAATGTACATTATAAATTTTAACTTATGTTTTTAATTTTTGCTAAATTTGTAGGTGATGGTGATATAATGACGATGACTCGGATGTGATGTTGATAATCAATTTAGGAGGGTTGACCCGTTGAAGAATTTGCTTGGTTTCCTTTTTCCCTTCGCTATCGTGTGCTCTATTGAATTTTTTTGTGGTTGGGTTGGTGGAATGGATTGATTATGTAATTTTATATGTTGGTTGGTGGATTGGCAGGTATTTTGATATTTTATAATTTGATGGTGGCCGTTGGTGGATTCATATTTGATAATTGAATTACTTTGTAATGACTTTAATGTTGTTTGAAACTTTAGAGTTTAGACTTTAGACTTGAGGATTGAATTTGTAAACTTTAACTATCAAACTTTGATGGTTTATTATTTGTAGCCTAGGGTTGGTTTGATGGTTTTAAACTTTAATTAGATGGAGAAATTATTGTTTTAGAGTTGGTTGATGGTTTAAACTTTAATTAGATGGAGAAATTATTGTTGTAGAGTTGGTTTGATGGTTTTTAAACTTAATTAGATGGAGAAATTATTGTTGTAGGGTTGTTTTTTATGGTTTTTAAACTTTAATTAGATGGAGAATTTGAATTTTTTGGCTTTTTTACGTTTTTGCTTATTTCAGCATGCTGATATCAGCATGACATCATGCTGACATCAGCATGGTGACGTCACAGTCACCGGTCAAACCGTCGAACCGAGAACCGACATTTAGCGGGTCGGCTCCTAGTCCGGTTTCAGAACATTGGTTGGTACTTCAGGCAGTTAAGGATGATAGATTGAAAAACATCCAGAAATTCAGAAGTTTGGGATGTAAATAATTCGAAAATCATCATTTGGATAAACAACTATGTTGAGCATTTTATAAGTATGCAATGGCTAAAGTATGAAATAACCAAGGAGGTTTAGGAACTGTTATCTCTCATTTCTCTTAAAATGTCAACAGTACACCCTAACTCAAAAATATAACACACTAAATAATTACAAGTATACCCTTTACGCTTTACACTATATATATAACATAGTTTCCAACACCTCCCCTCAAGCTGGAGCATATATACTATCATGTCCAACTTGGTTACAAATATAGGTTACCCTTTTACCAACTGAGACTTCGTGAGATGTCAGCTAGTTGTTCCCCTGTTCTAACATGATTAGTAGCAATTAACTTTGTTCAAGTTTCTCTCTACAAAGTGACAATCCACTCTATATGCTAGTCCTCTGTGAAAGACTAGATTGTTTGCTTATGTTGGCTGTTGGTTGTCACACACAAGTCCATAGTTCATGGGTCACCAAACCCAATTTCTCTAAGAAGATGTCTTGTCCATATGAGCTCACACGTAACTTGTGCCATAAGCCCGATACTCAGACTCTGCGTTGACCTAGCTACAACTGGTTGCTTCTTATTTCCAAGAAATAAGATTTCCTCCAACAAAACACAAAACCCAGTCACAGACCATCTATCCACAAGGATCCTACCTAATCAGCATCTAAAAAACCTTCTACCTTATTATGACCATGGTCACTGTAAAGAATCCCACGTCCAGGAGCTCCTTTTAGATATTTCAAGATATGGAGGACCGCATCCAATGAGATGTCCTAGGAGAAGACATAAACTGACTCACCAATCACTGAAAACGCAATATCGGACGGGTTACTGTAAGGTAGTTTAACTTTCCAAC